TTTCGTGCTAGCTCCCTTACTACTAGTATTTCATTTACAAATCGTGAAAATTATCGAAACCACCACGAATCTTTCAGTTTTCTAAAACAGAGATCGTCAAAGTATATCCATTAAAGAAAAAATCAACCGCCTTGGGTTTTCATTTAGCAGTTCTGAGGAACTGTGAAACCCAAATGTCGTCGTTTATATTCGAGGAGCTTAAATTAATAAATAATTCATTAATTATAATAATTAAACCATGTTGATGTATTGACGAATAACAAATGTAGGCAAAGCCCCCTAAGTACCCCAGTTTTTAAATGTCACTCATTGAGATTAAAGCATTAATTTTGACGCGATCGTAGATAAATGCGATTTGAAGAAACGAAAACAACGAAATTATGTTATTTACAGAAGCCTAATTTATAATATACTATACAATTGCATAATGAAGTGTAACCACCAAACCTCAAAAGTGTAACTAATCTGTTCTGAGAACAGTTGGACTTGTCTGAAGTAATTTAATCATCTAAGGACTTTTAACTCGTATCATAGAGGAAGTCACTATAATAGGAAAGAGTAGGAAAAGTAATAATAAGTAAAAATGGAGTATTTAGCGATTGTCACCACCAAACCTATTGATCTGCTTGTAGAATATTTAGTTCCAAGTGATTACTTGATTGCTATTTGCACTGTTGATGTTGTAGGCTGCGCATTAACAAAATGTGTACCCAGGGAAATTCATTTTTTTATTACCCCAGGGATGTTTTGTATTCCTAATCTAATTCTGCGATACATACACTAACATTGAATACGCTCATACTAGAGCATGCACGAGTTAAGCCCTGACGATACATAATCAAAATTGACATTACGTTTGATATGGTACTGGCTATGGCCTATGCCCAGTCTGAATTTCATGCAATTCGGTTCATAAATGGCCGAGATGTGAGATCGAAGAGACTTCGGCGTATTTTTATGTGGCACTTCACAGTAATATCTAGTCGGGAACTACCATATTCCCTTTGTCGGTACCGACCTCCGTCGTCCCCTTGACCCTGAAGTTTTTTACAAATAAATTTGCAAAAATACACTAAAAAGGCACTGTAAATGTTGAATCGATTAGGCTCATCTTTTGGATTTGCTAAAGTCCAGTTTCAATTTCATGCAATTCGGTTCATAACAAACGGATATGTCAGAAGGGCCTTCCTTATTTTTTGGCCAATTCACGAACTCCAATCTACAAATTTGATAAGGGATCCAGCTGCAATATTTCATCGTAATCGGCCTATCCGTTCTCTTTTGAATCGATGGACATGAGGCCATCGAGGAAGCGAGCGTTCGCTTAACAACTCGACGCCAAAATTATAGTTTGAAATAGGGTAAAGCTATAAAGAACAAAATCAGAATTATTTTTGACACCAACTGTAGACGGTTTAAACTTCGCATATCCGCACTTTTTTAGTATTTATTCTTTGGTTTCACTTAGATTTAAATCATGCATACCAATATATGCAATTCATTGTGATTTAGAATTTAATCTGCATTAATAAGCTCACTACAAAGTCCATGTATTTGTAGTCCACTTACCATTCAACACAATGTCCATCATTTTATGTTATAAATACTGTACACGTTTTCCCACTGCACAAATGTTGTACTAATTCAAACGTAACAACCAATGGTACCTCGAAATTACAATTCACTAGCCAAAAAATCTATTGGTAACTATCAGAAATTGTCAGAAATCATTCACAGTAATCGGACATGATTCGCAGTTGTAGGGAATCGTTGAAAATCCGGCGTATACAAATGCAATTCATTCCTTTTCGACCACCCTACACGATAAACTTGTAACAAATAGTGGTGGCCCAGGAGGTCGTTTGCTATATTTGTTGTAGACCGACGGAAGGACAGAAGCTCCTGGGTCACTGAAAATGTAATCAGTTCTTCCTTGGGCTCCTGTCCGTTCGTCGGTCTGTAACAAATATAGCAAACTACCTACAGGGTTACTGCATATGTAATCAGTTCTTCCTTGGGTAATGTTAAATATAACACTAAAAACAGAATTGGAAAATTCGCGAGTTATCACGTACACAGGCGGACTGACGGAGCTCGTTAATAAGACTATTGGATATCTCGACGATAATTAACTAAAAGATGTAGGGAAATTGAGATACTTTTGCCTAACCTTGTATTTATTAGTTTGTGGTCTAGATAGATCTCTAGATGCATAGAAACAGAGGTTTTGCTTCAGGTGCCAGAAATACGAGGGAGTTTTTAAGTTTCTACCTAACTATAAAGGAAAAAATCTATTTCTCTACCTAACTATATGCCACATCTACCCAAATACCGGGCGATTCTTTAGAAGTGATGATCGTTTGATTTTCGCGCTTAAAATTCTATTACCGTTAATTGTTGTGCTGTGTTGTCTTTCATTAATTTTCCAATTTTGATAAATTTTAGTGTCAATAAATTGATACATCACTGCTATTAAATAAATGATCATCAAGTAGTACCAACTTCAAAATTTTTTTGTTTTGCGGAAAATGATCGTTACTTCTAAAGGATAAGCAGGTTCTTTCTTTCTTTCACCATTTCGTTTCCCTTTTGAATTGATTCCGATTTCATTTTTAACGTAGGCATTTTTCTTGAGATGTAGCTAGTACTGCGGCAATTTTCGCCACCCATTCGTCTGACGGTTTGAGAGCAACTCACATTTATTTATTAGGTTAAGATAAACCCAAATTATACTAGACCAAATGTTATCTAAGTCAAACTGTATAGCGTCCTGGATCACTCAAAGTCAATACTGTTAAATCATCGGCAAATATTAGGTGTTAGGTACTATCTCAGCTTATGACAGGGAGGCTGAGGCTTCTGTCTTACGAAACTCGTTACGTTACTATAATAGAGAAAACAAAAGACAGTTTGTCAAGGGAACAGTGGTGCTTTTAGAATGAATCCACATTATAGGTTTTTTTGGAAATCAAGATCTCGCTTATGACCAAGCCACTGGGCCAAGAGTTCGTGATTTTTAAATGTCAATGTCAGTGGTAAAATTATCACGCCACAAACTCGTAATAATAATTAAATTTTCTATCACTTACGGTGTTAGCTGCGTATAAAAATCAATACGTACAGTCGCAGCCCACGATTTAATTTTCGTGATGTAAAATAGAGCACAATTTTAGCCAACTCGGAAATTTTAATGATTGCAATTTTCTTTGGCCAAAGCGTCTTTATTGAAAATGTGCAGAATTTGGCTTCCTCCGCTTCATTACGCGATCGTTCCAATATTATTCCAGAAATTATAGAGAGAATAATATTAGACAATTTCTCCCGTTTCGAATACGCCCATGCGATTATTCCCCTACGAATTTATTGTTTTCCGCGAATAAAGGATTCGGTCGATACGTTTTCACTATATGTAGTGCATGTTGCAAGATGGAAAGATTGGCAAACCCCTTATACAATATGCGTATATTAATGAAGTGGTGGCACATAAATCCAAAAGAACGGTCGAACTTCGCGTGGCCCATTTCATTAATAATAATAGCACCTAATTAAGGTTCCATAGTAAAAAAAGGTCTGCTCCGTAATTATTTCGCATGGGTACCAGCAATACCATGGAACCATAATCGATATTCTAGCATGAGACATTTAAAGAGAATGTATTCATTCCAAATTGTATTTATGTAACCTAATTATTTTATATTGTCCGATTTTGGGGTGCTTCAGATTGTTTTGGGACATTTTCTGAATATCTAATCACTTATAGTAGGGTTTCCGAGTCACGTTTTGCGAACGTTTATTCAGTTTTGTTGGGTTTTTACGAATCTTAAGGACGTTTTTCATAACGAACGACGTGACCCAATTTGTAACAATAGTCGAAAATACAATAAGAGTTTTGTTTAACACGGTTAGGCAATGTGAATACATAAAATCTCTTTAATCGAATGGGGTTAGAAACTGAATTTAAAATATACACATGCTGGTAGCCTTATTTCGCAAGGTTTACGTGATTAAACATTAAATTAAGATAACATTATGAAGTGCAACTAACATGCTGCAATATGACACAAATTAATGTTTCCTCTAATGTCCTCGTCTAAGTACTATATCCGAATACCAATGCGGGCGCATAGCTTTTCGTTCGCACAGATTCTAAATAGAATATTTTCACCCTCTATGACTAGCCGAAAACCTTGCTCGCGACTTGAGTTTTAACCTAAATTGTTCCTAGACAGAATTCAGGAGCACTATTGATTTTAGGCAAATTCGGTTAAGCAGTTTGACCTTTTAGGCGGCAGTAATCGTGAACACATTTGGCAAAGGTTTCATTTAGAAATTTCAGCGGTTTTTAATAAACGGGGTCAGACTAAGTAAAGGGATTATATTTACAAAGCCGTTTGTTATTGATCAAACGAGGCTCATGTGCCGACGAAAATCGTTTCATTAAAACGCCCAAAGTGTTATTCCTGTTCACATTCTCATTTATTTTCATATGGTGGGTATCCAAAAATTGAGTCTGCAAAACCACACCTACGCCTAATCGCCAACACTAAAGAATCCATATAAAATCGATTAGTATTTAGCAATTGAGTAAGTAGTAGGTAACAAACCCACATACTCATAAAATATGGCATAATCGATATCATCAATTGAACGGTTTCGTAAAATACGTATTTTTATTTTTCTGTGGGTTTCTATGCGTATGCGACGTTAATTTTCTAGACTATTAATACTCTCATTCAAAATAAGACTGGAATAAGAAAATTGTTTCATTCGAATCTTGGAGCAAGGATGCCATTGAGGCCCAGTCTTGCGTAGACGGTAGAAACCCTCAGGATCAATACACGCAGTTCGCCCTCATAACGAATATATAAAACTGGGTCGCACCCAAACATCCAGGCTGACACAGATCTGAAAATCCAGCTCGCTCATCTGCTCTTACTTTAATGATTTTATTATTGTCAATTTTTTGTTCGTTATCGTTTTCATTGTTCCTTTTGTTTCAGATCACGTACCTTAATTTCGAAACTCGCAACGTTTTAGATAATTACACGTTAATGAATTCAATGTTTTATTATTAAAAAAAAATCAAGTTTTTCATAACCGAATAACGAAACGTAAACACTCACTACAATGCATATAGAAGTACAAGTAGCACTAAACTTCGTCATTTCGTACCTGTACAACAAACTCCCGCGACGAAGAGTGAACATATTCGGAGAAGAACTTGAAAAAGCCTTAAAAGACAAATTTCAAGGACATTGGTATCCAGATAAACCGTTCAAAGGTTCCGCGTTCAGATGTATAAAAACCGGCGACCCAGTTGATAAGGTGTTAGAACGAGCTGCTCGAGAAAGCGGCGTGACCATTCAAGACATTTTGGAAAATCTTCCCCAAGAATTAGCGGTATGGGTTGATCCAGGTGAAGTCAGTTATAGAATCGGCGAGAAGGGGGCAGTTAAAATTCTGTTTAGCGAGAAAGGCGATCCCCAAGACGAAAGCTCGGCCGATAGAGAAGTCACCAAGACATTTAACCCAGAAGCTCAATGTTTCAAACCGATCGATTCAGTTAGTTCGAGTTTAAGTAATCTAAGTTTATCTCCAAAATCTTCACCGTTTACCTCTCAAGCTGCAATTACAACTCCACAAGTACCTGCTAATAGTATTGTCCAAAATGCAAACCAAAATATTAACCATCTTTCGTCGCCCTCGTCCGCACCGTCGCCGACCTCCGTAGGAAACTCGTACAAGGGATCTCCGTCGCCCGTCCCTTCCTTTATTCCGCGAACGACAACGCCGCTCACATTTACTACGGCCACCTTTGCTCAGACCAAATTTGGAAGCACTAAGTTGAAGACCAGTAGCAAGAGAGCAAACAGGTATGTTATACCCCTTTTCTAATATACGCGCGACGCGTCGCACTGTGTAGTTCGGGAACCAATTACTGTCTTTCTTACAGAATGTCTCCTACGGAATTTTCAAATTACATCAAACAACGTGCTATGCAACAACAAATGCATCAACAGCAGGCCCAGCACCATTCTCCGGGAGGTCGAGCGCTCTCCCCGGATCCCTCGGCATATTATTATTCTCACGGTCCATACGCGCACCAGTTCCCCCATCGCTCCATGTTTGAGTCTTCCAATCAGTTCCTTAGCGCTGATCTGTATCCAGGCAAATTACCTTTTGATCACACACCTCTGGGATCGTACTATCCCAACAATGCAACAATGGGTGCCCCAACAACGACGCCCAATACTCCACAAGATAGTAATAAATTGTTAGATAATTGGCCGTATCCCTCTGCGGGCCAATATCAGCACCTCTTGGTGGCCAACTGAGGCCTGTCTTAGAGTTGTTTATCATTTTCTCGGTTATATGCAGTTACTTATTCATTAGTTACCATGTGGTGCTATCAATTGTGGTGCGAATTAATCAATTTTGATAACACGCATTGTGGTATCGAATGTGTTTTAGCCGTAGTAGTGATTAACGTTAATTTCTTAATAAAATGAATCCCAGCTTGAAACTTGATAGTTCTTTTTATAAAACTTTAGGTATAGACTAGATGTTTCTTACTTTATATATGGTGTTTACAGTATTCTTATAGAGTAGTACGTTTTCTAAATTTTTTATAAATAATGTATTTTTTATTTTTGTAAAAAAAAGAAGCTCAAGCTGTCATCTAGTCCCAGAGATTATTATACATGTTCTATTTAATGTTGTAGGCATATCATGGCCGGTTTTATAAACTGCGTGGCCGAGATAATAAAAGAGGTCCCTTGTTCTGTGTTATTTTTTAAGTCAGTATTGCTAGTGCATGCCATAGCCTGAGTTAAATGCTGGGTTCCTAGATGCTTCCTCCTCCAAAGCTACAAGCTATTTTATACTGCTTCAATTTTGTTACACTTTATTTTTTCACCATTGTATTAAATTGTATAGATTGTTAAATACAATATATATTTTGTTAATAGTTTGATTGCACTTGGTTATTTTATATGTACCTGACTGACATTGTTAACTATCTTTGTAGATCAATTGTTCTCTAGCCAATTTGTTACCTAATTAGGAAATTTATAAGGGATGATTTGGAGAAGTGATTTCAAAAATCATTATCTGTAAACGTTTTCTACTATCTATTTGTAAATGCAAATGGCTTGTCACGATTATAAATCACAATCAAAATTGTTTGGGCTGTAACATTATGCAATTGGAAAATCCACGTCACAAGTCTAATGGTACTTCATTGTAAAACTGTAGTTAATATGATAAGCACGTGTATTAATTTATTGGATGAATATTCTCCTTTAGTGATAAAGTATATTTTTTCTAAGGAATAAAAAGAGAGGCGCTTATAAGTTGTAGGAGTTTAAATACGGGACGTGTTTGCCTTCTTAGATGGTTGTAAAGAGTTTTTCAACGGTGTCAGCGTTACCTGTTAGTCTTTAGCTAACGCGGAAATAATTAATTCTTTCATTTTTTTAATAAGATCACATGTAGACAATTTGGAAGAGTTACCCAACAATTTAGGCGCATATCAATGGGTTTCGTTAATCCAAATTAAAGTCTTAAAATTAAAATGAAAGGGATATATTTCGGTAGCAAGACGTAAGTTACAAAATGTATATGATTCAAATTATAGATTACTCAATTATTTTATATACTTGCTTGTACGTATTTGCATTTTATCTATCTAAGATCTGTATATAATCGTAGTTAACTTGTTGTTCATGTATCTTTGTAACCGTGTAGCCTCATTAGGGTATGGTACAGATAAAAACACAGTTCTGTAGCAATTTTTTATAGTTCTATTTTGATGAATTTTTACAGTTTCGCAAGTGGTCGCAGTAACATTGTGTACCGAGCCAACTAATGTAGTAGTATAATTTTGTAAACAATGTGGGTCATATATGATAATATAAGTAGGTATATAATGTGAAATTGTCGGGAACAGCGAATGGTAATTACATATTGGCTCGCAATGTTGGTTACCACTTGCTATGTTATTTATTATTACGGATACAATATTAAGTAGGGACTGAAGCCCAAAGGAATGTGATGGCTCTTTTTTACTATTATAGGTAGCTAGGCTAGGGAACTTGCGACAGGATCGCTTTAATCCTTCGGTTAAGGATTAAAGGACCAACCTGCGCAGGCCTACATATTGTGTATGTCGCTACTATCTGTGTTAGTTTGTTATATCTCTATCTAAAGTCGTAAAGTTGTAGTTATCTACATTGATATAGTGAGAACGGATTTTTCCATCCCGTTATAAAATAAATATGTGTATAATAGTCTATAATTTTTCATATTGTTGTACGATTTTTAAGTTTATATTAAAATGTTTGTGCATTCATGATACGCTTTTTCTTCAATAAATATCCTTTTTTATATTTATCAGTACTTTGAATTTACAACTGTCGCAATGTAGGTCACGGTCAAGGAGAAAATCAATATTACTAACCCTACTCATAGTCATAAAAGGGACGAAAAAACATCCAAGTTAACATATTTATATATACTTTAAACGTCGTTACCCAATTGGATTTTGCTTATTTATAAATTTAAAGAATAACAGAGACTCCAAGACTCCAGCAAACTTATAAATTTTTGATTTAAAATAAATTTTTAGTAATTAGTAAACAATTATAACCTTACATACTCGTATATATTTTAATTATGCTACCTTGAATTTTAGATTGGGGACTTTTTCTTATTTTGCGATTAATTATTTCCTCAATAATTCCCGGTATGTTTCCATTATGAAGTACAGACATGCAAATGACAACGCGAGTGACAACGTTTATCAATATTACACTAACCTACAATAATTAAAGAAGTGGATAATATATTCCCCATAGTACCACGTTTAAATTTGGCTAGAACTTACCTATATAGTTTTGAAAAATAAACTTCAGTTAGGTAGGTACCGGTGAGTTACAAAATATGTTTTAGCTGGATAAAAACAAGTGATTTGTAAACTGCAATGCATAAGATTACAAATTCTGGATGAGATATCAACTATACTTATCGAAACATTTAAATTTGCATTTATTTAATTCTTTTATTACTGTTTTTCCCAACGTACAAGGACTTTCTGGAAGTATATACGCTTTTGTAAATTTTTTCAATTCAATTACGTGTGAAACATTTACAGTGTTTTCATGTGACGAGGATCTTAGCGAATACGTGTTGACACTACCGACGCATCAAAATTGCAAACTGGTTACCCGGTCCGTAGACAGTTTGAGTATGACGTGGCCAGGACGTTGGTAAATTTTAATGCAATCAAAGATTTGGATAGGTACATTTACTAATGAATTAATTTTCGTCTCAAAATATTCTGTACCTACCTATGTTTCGATTCCATAAAATGAGCAGCACATTCATGCAAAAACAACGAAATATTATAATTATTTCTGCTATTTTGTAATATAAAAAGAAAAGGACTTAGATATCCTACCGATACATTGGCCCGTATGAATAAAAGTAAGCAAATGCTTATACTTGCAAAATTCAAAGTAAATACTCGTAAGTGCCCCTTCATACTGATAGCAGCGCTGCACTGCGTCCTGTCCTTCTGCTTAGAAGCGCTGCTAAGTCGCCCAGTGCGAAGGAGCACTTACGAGTATTTACTTTGAATTTTGCAAGTATAAGCATTTGCTTACTTTTATTCATACAGGCCATTGTGTGAAAAGAAACTGACGATATATACTTATGACGTATTTAATAACATTTTGGAAAAAATTGTAGAGTAGGAGAATCTATTGAGCCTAATTGACAACCTAGGATTTACTTTAAGAGGTCTTTACGTGAATTAAAGAGCTTTAAAAGAGTGTTTAATCTTTCGAAATGTTAAAAAATCTTTTAAAAACCTCAAGCTCCCTAAAAGTCTTGAAAGATTCTTAATTACGCTTTACCTAATTGTGTTAATAGACCAAGAGATTTTATAAGCTTTATGATTTTTTAAAAGCTTATTATTTGGGTAGGTAGTCGAAGTCTTTGGGGACCTCTAGATTACAAACAAGTACCTAGTTGCTGACACGTCACGCAATTTTCAGATAATGCAGTAAAATCAAAAGTCTTTAAAAATTACTAAACTCTCAAGCTGATAGTGCAGTAATAGACACGGGCGTTCAATATTTTGTTTGGTAGTGGGTAGTTTCTACCACGAACGTAGAGTAGTGGTTGAAAAGTGCGTATGGTTTGATGTACACTGTCAAACATTTAAAAAAACATGCGCGTGTGAACTAAAACAAAAGGAAAACACTTCCAAGTTAAGAAAATGATTTTAATTTGTAAAAATGCACAGATATTCGAAAAGTATGCATCAGCAAGTTAAAAAGCGAAAGATTGACAAACACAGGCGATCTAATGATTGGACGTCCGTTAGGTGATAGCATTGTTTAAAACAATGGTGATAGCCCACGCATTGTGACAAATAAAGTTCATTTATGGAACTCATTTTGGGATCGTTAAATGTATCTATTCAGATGGTAATTAGGTGCATCTACACAAATTAAATTTGATCAGTGTGTCCGACATTCAATAAAAAAGTTTCACTGCGATAACGACGTAATTAAGGACCTGTGTTCGGCGAGCTACTCGCATAAGTGTATAGTTTTTGTTAACTATAAGTTGCCACTACTACCGTAAAAATAAAATATTTAAGACTCGATATTCAGTGCTAATAAAAAGACAACCGTTTGATGGATTTGAATTCGCTTGATATTAAACCCCTGCTTAATTTTGTGCTGTTTAGGTGTAGTTTCATTGTTTGTAATTACATCTTAATTTATACCTAATGGATGGTTTTTTTTATAATGTGGAACAATTCGAACAAAACGAAAATGTGTGTAGCGATTGCAACATTTTTAATTAGTGGCTGGATTTAATACTAATAATAATGTCTCCATTTAGGTGCAGGTACAAAATATTGGTAGGAAAACGATAGAAATAATTATAACTCAAAGGGTGCGGGTGGAGATCAGCTTGTAATAACGATTACTCGCTGCTCTTCCACTCAACCCATGATTGTTTTAATGATCACATAATTGTTTCATCATGCAACAAGAAAAAAAAAGAAACATTGAATGAATAAACCATAAAATATAAACTGTAGCAACTACGATTTTAAAAATTATGGGAGGGGTTATACATTTGAGGACGTCAAAAGTGAAACAAAAGTGAAGATGTAATGTGTAATGGTGGACGTATCAATCCCCTAACAATCAAATTTAAAGTGTGATTCTGTAAGTTATTTTATCATACAAATAGGTAGGTACGCCGGTGTTTGGTTTAGAATACTTGAAGGATAAAGCGCAAAATTCCTAGATCTCTTCGATTAGGCATATTCAACCACTTCACTGCCTTTAGCTTATAAGAAATCATTAATTTAATGTAACAATTAAAAAAAGAGATGCTGTAGTGTCTTAAAACAAAACACACATAAATATCTTGTACTTGACGCATAATATTTTTAGGTGAAGCTACGGTATAAAGTAAGAGGGGAGGACGCATGCTCCCCTATCTTCATTATGAGCACAGTGTAAGAAAAACGGTAAGCTTGGGCACACTTCCACTAGTAGACTAAGAATAGTCATGGTTTTTTCTTACGAAAATCGCAATCGCGATCCTTTGGTTTAAAGTTCATACCATGCTGAAAGAGATATGAAGAAATTCACGGAAGATGCAATGCGATCTAGATGCAACGATGGAGTGGAGTAAGGAAAATGATTTGCATTACAATATTAAAAGGTGCAAATCGTTGAGCTTTTCGCGAAAAAGAGAGGATACAGTATTTCATTACAAGTTGGCCTTTGGAAACTGTAGATTACCAAGACGATCGTTTTTGATAAGAAATTGTCTTTTAACATTCATATTGAAAACAAAATTAAAGCAACGTATTCAAGTTTGGACTTCATTTTCAAATCTTCCATAGATCTTAAAAACGCAAGTAGGTACGTATAAAATTCTTTACCACACACTAGTCCGGCCACATCTTGAATATGCATCCATCATATGGCCACCATAATATGTAAATAAATACCAGCAGGCCATAGAAATGGCCCAGAAAAATTCATAAGACGTATACAGGACAAAGTCTCTGATACAGTAACCGACTGACATCAACATAATATCCCCTCTTTGACCACTATTCGAATCTTTTGCAAACAAATTGTATACGTAGAAGAAATTTTCTTTTATTAACTATTGAATAACCAAGTAGTGAGTTCATCACATTTGCTATAATTAATGAATTTCAATGTTCCGGATGATGCCATATTATATAAAATGCCTCAATCCATATCAATTTCATTGAATCATACAGCACCGATTACACGCATAATGGCAATGTTTAATAACTTTAACTTTTTTGGAAATTTTCGATGTAACATTATCGCATTTCAAGAAACAGTTAATGTCTATTTAGTTTTTCATTATTTCGTTACCAATTATTTAATCATAATTATCACGGAATATTTAAGGATTATTTCAGTCCTCAAAACTGTTATTGGATACAATCTATCTGTTATTTTGAGTATTTCAATAAATAAATAAATAAGTAAATATATAATTAACTAAATAAATAAATAAATAGATAAATAAATAAATAATATAGAAGACCAAATTTCCCACACAAAAAATCAGCGACCCTCTGCTACCCTTCTGCACGGAGAACAAGGATATCTCCCCAAAACTGTCATAGACAATTTTAGGCGTTTGATAGAACGTTCGGGGCACTTCCAACTCGGAAACGAACTTATAACGCGCTAAAGGTCGTTAGAAACCACGTTACCATGAAATTATATGGCAATGCATAAAAAAATAATGAAAAGCTTTTTGAACACTTAGTGGGTTCTGAAAAAGACTAGAAGACACACTTAGACTATATAAATTTCCAGTCGATTTCCAGAGTCCTCTATGTAGAGAACTTTGTCAATAATTTCCAGAACTTACTACTTTTAGACACTTAAACATTCCTGCTGTAAATTACCAGCAGGTGGTTGAAACTCCTTGAACTCCTCAGAAAGATCAGGCAGCTCTTTCGAATTCCCAAATAAACGTGTGTATTTACCGTTAGATCTGTAAATGAATTTTTTTTAATCTTCTGCGCTTCCGTAGAAAGCCTATAAAAGGTGACAGTTCTAGATATTGTAAATGGTATATGAATTTAACCTATTTAATATTAAACATAAAACTGAAACAAATAGGCGATACAACATAGTAACCTACGGTATAAGGAATTAGGGATAATTTGGGATGAGACGATGAATTTGAAAAGGTTCGAAAAAGTTATGGAATCATTTTCAACAGTAAGTAAACACGTTAGTGTTTGCATACCAAAAAGAATTCT